ATCCTCCTTCGTTATCATAGGATCATCGTCCCTTCTCTTCGGATCCTCGTCGACACTATTCGGACCATGTCCCGACGTCGGTTCCTTTTCAGTCTCCAGGTCTTCATCCGTCCTCTGGTCCTCATCAGACCTCTGGTCCTCGTCCATACTCTTCCGACCTCCATCTGGCTTCGGGGACTCATCAGGCCTTTGATCCGATGGACCGTCATCATCGGGCCCACCCCCACCTCCGAAATACTTGCTCGAATCAGGGAATTTACCCTGCACCCAAAACACTGGCCCATGAGCATTATTGTAATAATTAAAAACAAATTTGTATACATATTAAATTAGTACCTTCGCCAGTTTCTTTAGGTATATCTGAATACCTTTCAAGGCGACTCCAAAGTCACCCAGTTTGTCCTCGATAGCACCGACACAGTTATCCAGCCTCTTCAACCGTCTGCTGATCCTCTTCTTGAATTTATTCTTCTTCAACCTCTTCTCTAACCCTTCACCGTCGTTTGCACTGGGTCTAGCCTCGTCTACCGCATGTGCATCTACTACCGGATCCTCCAGAGGACCCATTTCCACATCAGCGGGCGGATCAGGTACAGCTGCCCGTTCAGGTGAGGCAGGCGGGTCAGGTACAACAGCTCGATCAGGTACAGCAGGCGGATCAGGTATAACACGAACTTCTGGTGGAAGAATGACACGAACCATGTGTTGTTCCTTAGCATCCGTCGCCAACAAGTGTTCCTTAACCTTGGACTGCAAAAAACCTATGATTAGATCGAAATGAAAAACCAAATATGAATCATACGGCCAAAAGAGAATTACTTACGCGCGTGTTATCGAAAACCTCACTCGTCAGCACACGAAACCCGCACGAATAAATGCACGACCACCTGAGTAGTCGAGGAATGGCGTCATCGCTCAAGGTAGAGATCGTCTCATACGCCCATACCTGGAATCCATGAAAGGCAAATAAATGATGCAGTTGAATAATGTATAAAATTATACAATTGACTTAAACCTCGCTAACCTGAAATGCGTACGGAAACCCGTATAGACTATAAGTCTCAACGTGTGAGGGGTCTGCTGTTGCCTTCTGTTGGTACACCGACAGTTTATCCTTCAGGGCGTTCTTGAGACTCCAAATCGTCCTATCAAAAATCATCGAACTCCAGTCATAGTTGCAGAACACCTCCCACCGATCCACAACACCTAACAGGGCCGTATCTATGAACTGTTTCCTCTCCTTCCCCATCATGGCAAGTTCTATGAAGTAAACTATGCGAACCTTCACAACATCCTCGTCGTCGTAAAAAACGTCCTCCAAAAAAATCTTCTCCAGCTCACTACACTTAACCCTAACACCGTCTTTAAAGTAACGTGCTCTAAGTCTTCGTCCAGGAATATGATTATCTACCCTATTCATCCTATGACTGAGCCCGGTGATTAGGTCGAACTCTCGCTTACCAAAAGACACCCTCTTCCCAAACAAGTCAAAGCTAATGACGTCCTGTCTAGGCTCTTCAACCTCTCTCAACAACAGGTGATGGATCAATGGACCGTTGAAAACAACGTCTATGTCCAAAATAGGACCGAAACATGTTTGCCTAAACATGTCTAACTGGGTTGGGGTTAGCCTGGCCTTAATCCTAGTACTGGTTTTATCAATATGGGCAAGGTTCGTCAACGTGGCCGGAAACCAGTCATTACGATCTATGATGAGTCTCAAATCCATTCTAGGTTCATAACAAAGTTGAAATAAAACATATTAGATACAAACTAAGCTAAAGTGACAAGGAACTTAAAAAAAAAACTAAACAAAACAACATTCTGCCTTTCATCCCGGACCGAACCGGACCGGGACAAGTCCGAGATGAAAGGCAGAATTGGACAATTCAAATCTGCCTCTCATCTTGGACTCATCCCGGGCCGAACCGGACCAGGATAAGTCCGAGATGAGAGTCAG